CAGAATGGAGGTGCGCAGATAGCAAGGGACCAATGAACAGATACCAAAATAAAAGAATGTCCACACCTTTATCTCAGCAGTTCTGCCAAGCGTCTGTGGCCTCTCCGATTCGTCCCCCGCGTGGTCTCACCTGAGATGGCGGTTCCTGGAGCAGCTGAGCGTCCCGGACTAGAAAGCAATAGATTTCTTGTTTCAGCCACAAATTCCCCCAGCTGTGAGCCCTCCAACCTTCTAAATATTCCTTTATATGTGGTTCAGAGTTCTGGGACCAGCCCCTGAGCCTGCTTGTTCGGGTATTCTGTGTTGTTGTTGTTGGAGCTCCTTTACTGCACTTCCAATCTGCCATCTTGTTTGTTCTCTCGAAGCCATTTTATGAGCTTATTTTTTCTAAATAAGATGGAGGAGTGATAGGCTGTAATTTATATTTTAAAAGGAAAATCTTATCTGCTTTGTTGAGAATAGACAATAACATGGATGAAGGAATATGACTTGGGAGGCTATTGCTAAAATCTAGGTAAGACATGATCTTTGCTTGGATGAGTGTAGAATCTACCTTGAAGTGGTAAAAAGTGGTAAGACAAGTTCTACTGATTCTGGGTGCATTTAGAATATAAGAGTCTGCAGGATTTGTTGATGGAAAGAGAGGAGTCAGGGATGGGCCCACCGATCCTGAGTCATTGAGGTCATAGGAGTTACTACATAAGGGATTTTAGGAAGCAAATTTGAACTTCAGCAATTCCTGTGAAAAAAAAAATTTTTTTTATACCACATTGTTCTAATCATATGTTCCACGAGGAAAAATTCCTTGTTTACAATAAATTTTCCTTTATTTTCAAGAAATAGACTTTAAAAGAAATCTAAGAAATATAGTAATATTTAAAATTAAGACATTTAAAGAAGGAAAATAGAACACTGTTTAAAATATGACTATTTTATTCTGTGATTTGGTAGTTTTAAAAGAAAAAAATATATAGAAATTTTGGCAAGTCAATTCCAATGTTTCCTCAAACCCTTAAAGTTGAATTTAAAAGATTAAGTTTACGTTTCATGGTATTGTGAGTAACGTGCTGTTCATGCCTTTTGCATAGGTTTTACTGGTAATGGACACGAGAACAGAACAGACCTTCATTTTAAAAGTAAGTAAAATTTGTATGTTTAACATGTGTAAGCATTTATTTTCAAATTATGCTTCTAAAAGAAGATAAACTATTTTTTTAATGTGGCTGTTCTGCATGTTCTCTTATGTTTGTGATGATCTGTATTTTTTTTTTTTTTTCAGTATGGTCTCTCAACACATTTAAAAAGAGTTTTATATTTTAGGGAATGGAGGTCATCATTTGGATAACTTGAAAAATCATTGAGTACTGTTTAAATGTGTAGTTAAATATATCTGAAGTGTATTTTTATATAATTAGTGAAGCCTGTACACATTCTCACCTTTGGTTATGATTACGAATCTCAGGAACTGAATTTGTTCTTTAAAGTCTTTGTTATGGGCATTTGGTAAAGTGTTACTTACATCCTTGGCCCTTTTTTTTTTTTTTTTTTAATCTAAATTCAATTTTGATTCTATTTATAACTAAATAGAAGAGAAAAACTCGATTTACTAATTTCAAAATTGTATTTGAAATAGATTATGACAGTACATATTCTAAAGATACCCTGATGTAAGCATTCACATAGCATCCAGATGTGGATTGATTAATTTTTTATTTCTTTTTCTTTGCCTTATCAAGATTGTAGTAGGTTTGACACTTACTGAAACACAGTTATTTAATAAATATATCACTGACATTTCCCTAGTTTTTTAAGCTAGGACTTGACACCAGAAAATATTCATATTCTGTTCCTTGGGAGAATACTTAAAAATCCTTGTACTTGCTTGAAATAGAAAATGTGAATTGTCTGTTTAACCTAGGCATATCTTTTGTGTCTCAGGAGTTTGAATTGATCTCACACTGTCTGCTGCTTTAAAGATATACATAAGTAAAATGAAACTTAAGAAAAGGTCATGGAGAAATAGCTGTATGTCATCCTGATGACTTAGTTTGAGAGCATCTCTAATAAAAACACTGACCCACGTAATTGATTTTAATGGCAGCTTTGTGGCATCTTCCGTTCTCTGGATTCACGCCAGATGCCATCAGCAGAGCCTCGAGGGACTGGGGGGCATAGAGCAGCAGATGAGTGGTTTCTCTGAAGCCCAGAGTAACTGGGATAGATTAGTTTGGTTGATAAACAGAGAGCACAGCAGGCTCCAAAGGCAACTGAGGGTACAACTGACCTTTTTGTTCTCTGTCAGGGTCTAAGGAAAAGCAGTGAATACAGCAGGAACAGAAAGACCATCATCCCCCGCTGTGTGCCCAACATGGTGTGTCTGCACAAGTACATCATCTCTGAGGAGTCGGTATTTCTTGTGTTGCAGCATGCAGAAGGTTGGTTTGTAGTCTGAATTGTTTATGAACTGAAGAATGTCACCTATTAGTGTTTTTTATATAATAATGTCCTTCTTACATTGTCATTTCATGAGGAAGTAAAATATCTGAAATACGTGTAAGAAGCTGTTTCCTTAGTCCTCTGAGCAGCACATTTCACTTGAATTCTAGTAATATTTCTTAAGTTTATTTCCTTTCCCTCAGAATTGATGGTAATATATGAAAACTTTAATGTGAACAAATGCTAAGAGAGTTTGGCTTTATTTTAGGGATTTTAGTTTGTTCTCTTGGTCTGTGCTACAAAGATACATTAGTGTTAGATGACAAATAAAAAACATCCCCTGGAGAATTAATTAATTATCTTCTGTTTTAGAAGGCCAGGGTGTTTGCTTAACATTTGACATTACCTAGTTATTCTGATCTGGGTTTTCACTAATACTGCCAGTGGCATCACATATGGTTACAAAGCAGAAGCCCAGCGCTCTGCCTTCAAACTATTTATGAAATTTCAGCTCTTAGTGAACGGAACAGGTGGCCAAAAAATAGTATGTTTTGATTTGGTTTTGCCTTTTAACAGGTATTTTAGATAAATAATCTAAATTTCAACATTTAGAATGACTGAGTATAGCATATAAATTCACTTAATAACCATTGGCTTTGGCTTTTAAGAGGTAGTTTTTAAATAGAAAAAAAAAAGAATTTTTGTATTTCATGGAGATATTATTATTTTACATTATTAAGAATAAAGGGCTATTGTGCTTTACTAATAGGCATAACATTTGAATTGAATGCATTTTCCCAGGGAAAGGAATCATTGCTTATTGGAATGAGGTCTCTTATGATAACTGATGCAAGATTTTCGACGGGGGCAATAAACTATTAATATTGTGTATTATGAAGTGCAGCACAAGATGACTACAGATGGAGGGAAGACCTCCATATGCAGTGTTTAATAGGAAATTCAGAAGGGGCTTCATGGTCTCTCAGGTATTAAGAGAGTTAATTGCGTGTGTGAATTGGATAACTAATTCACCTTTGTTCAGACATTATAGACAGCTTTTATCTGAGGATACCAGTACATTACAGACATTATTGAATTAGAGGTCATGTCATCTGATAGCGAAATACAGCCACCTCTGGTGTGGAACAAAATAACTTGCGTAGTAATAATCCATAATAATTTAGAACAAGGTCAGTAGGATGAATGTAATTATAGTCAATATTCTATTACCCAGTGTGGATTATTCATGTTGGAGATTATCTGTGGTAAATTTTCAATCCTAGCTCACCCTTGCTACTTACAGCTTTTCTTCCTCTTCTTCTTCCTCTTCATTCACCAAATCATACTTCAGCTTTTCTTTCACCACTTGCTCACCCTCCTTATACCCACTGAAGCTGCTATTTCAGCTGATTTAATTTTCCATACTATATTAATTTGTGTCATCTATTTTAAGGTCATATGTTCATGGCTTTTCAATTTCCCACTGTTTTAGGTTCTCTTTGCTTAGTCTCTATTCCTTTACTGTTGACTACACTTAACTTTGAACTGTCACATGACCACAGAACACTTCCTGGATTATTTAAACCTATGGTGAGGGTTGGCATCTCTTTTGACCATCTGCTTTAGGTGTTTATTGTTTAGTTTTAAGAAGGATTTTATAATGCAGAAATATAAATTGCCATATAAATAGGAACCTCAAGTTTGGCTTGAACCACAAGGTTGTTGGTTCAGATTTACCAGCTGCTCCTTGGAAACCTATATTAGTTGGAGCCAACTCCAAGGCATTTAACACAACACACATTCTTCTTGTGTGGGGAGTGAAACAAACAATCAAAAAGCAAGAGAAGATAGGATTGAAATAGGAAATGTATCTGTAACACAGGGAAATCTAATAGAGAATGCCTAGGGAAATACTTTCGGTTACATAATCAGGGAAGCCCTTTCTGAGGTAACATTTAAGCAGTCCTGAATGACAAAAATGAAACAACCATTTTATACTTAAAGGGGAAGCACATTCCAAGTAGAGGGATCAGTCCTAGAGTTCTAAGGCTAAAACAAACTTGGAATATTGAATGGAACAAGGAAGGAGACCATTTGGTTGGGATGTTGTACGTGACAGCAATAGTGGACTATCAGCGAAGCAGGTAGGAGCCTTGTATGGAAGAGTAAAGACTTTACTTTTATTTGGGGATATTTGGAAACCATTGGGCATCTTAAACAGTGACACGGTCTGAGTTTCATTTTAAGATCACTCTGGCCATTGTATGGGGAATGAGTTAGAAGAATAGAAGTAGTAAGAAGACTAATGTCTTAGTAAGAGATGATGATGGCATAGTCTCCTGGGCATATTAAATCAGCTTATTCTAACTCATGGTGACCTTATGTGTCAGAGTAGAACTGTGCTTCGTAGGGTTTTTGGTGGCGGATTTTCTAGAAGTAGCTCATCAAACCTTTCTTCTGAGGTGCTTCTAGGTGAACTCAAACCTCCAACTTTTCAATTAGCAGGTGAGCATGTTAATTGTTTGCACCACCCAGAGACTCCTTTAGTGCATTTTGTAGGTAGAGTTAATGGAGCCTATGATGGAGTTGAAGGATCTGGTGGTGTAATGATTAAGCATTTGGCTTTGGGTCAAATTTGGATTAAGGTTAAAACCGAAAGGTCAATTGTTTGAACCTCTCAGCTGCTCCATGGGAGAAGGATGTGGCACTTGGCTGCTATAAATATTATACCCTTGGAAACCCTATGGGTCAATTCTTCTCTGTCCTGTAGAGTTATTGTGAGTCAGAATCTACTGGACAGCAATAGGTTTGGTTTTAGTTTGGATGATGGAGTTGAAGTTAGGAGGAAAGAATCTCGGGTGACTTGCCGGCTAGTGTGGCTGGAGTAGGGTGGGGAGAGGAGCAGGAAGTGAGCTGAGAGAAATGGACAAGCAGGTGGGCAGGTGGATGGATTTCTAGGCCATTTCAAAACCTTGAGCTTTATTCTAAATAAAATGGGAGGTCACTAGGATATGTTGAACAAAAGAGTGAAGAAGTAGGGCTCACTGGCTGCTTTGTGGGCAGTAAAATATGGGAGTAAAAGGTAAAAGCAGGGAGACAAGTTGAGAATTTGTTGCAGCAAACCAGGTGAAAGATGATGGTATTTGCACAAGATCTTGGTAGTGAAACTGGTAAGAAATGGTTATTAGATTCTGAGTGTATTTTAAAGGTAGAACTGACATGATCCTGCCTTGCATGAGTCAAAGGTGTTTGGACAGTTAAGAATGCACTGCTAGTAGGATAAACGCTGGATTGGTAACCACAAGGTCAGCAATTCAAACCCTGTACAGGGTTGCTATGAGTCAGAACTGACTCAATGGTACTTAAAAACAATGGTACAACAACAAGTTGGAGAGAGCTGTGTAAAGAGTGGCACATTTAGGAAAATCTGAGATGCTCAGATTCAATTAGCAGGCAATTGGATACATCAAACAGTGTTTTAAGAAAAGAGATTTAAAATGTTTATTGCTATAGACACAGGATAGTTTGGGAGCTGGGAGGGGGGCAATATACAAGAAGGGAGAGGGGAATGGAAGAACAAAGCAGATGGGAGAACAGTTAGGCAGGTTTGCATGGGCTAAGTGGAACAGAGGTAAATAATGATGTCTGCACAAACTTGGAACAACAGAGCTCTGGAATACAGGGATTTAGATATGGTTGGAATGGGGAAAAGGGGGGAAATAATGTTAAGATGCTTGGCTGTCTTTTGAATCTTGGTTTTCCTTGAATTATAAATTAGACACTGGAAGGGGAAAGAAAGGAATAGCCAGAAATAGCACCATAGAAAGTTTGTAAGTCCGTCTTCTGCCTATAACTGATTGGAATACCTAAAATGGGGCTACAACATGCCCAGTGAAAGAGGCTTCCTGTGGAGCCTCTGCATTACATAAGACTACAGGTGGAATCCTGAACAGCATCCAGAATCTTCAGAGGTGGGAAATTTCCACTTGAAAGGATGGGCAGACCAGCCTGGAATGGCTAGAAGAACAGAAGATACTTCTTGAAAGAAAGACCTACAGGAAAAATACAAAACAATATAGGCAGACCAACTGATTACTACAAGAACAAGAAAGTTGCAAGTGGTCGTGCCCCATCAGAGCAAACCCTCTTCCAAGACTAAGACTCATTGGGAATATATGCTCTGATTGGTGACCACGTTCGTCACCGATAAGGGGAAGTGAGGGAAAAACAGCAATGAAGCTGCAAGCTAAGCCCTACAACATTCAATAGACTCCTGTGAACCCAGGTGGAAACCTGGTTGGCCAGCAGTGTGGCAAGACCTGGGGACTCTTTGGCCCAGAGTCAGTGACATAGCCACAGAGGACTAGAATGGAGAGTGGAGCATCCAGCAGATAAGAAGAGAGGGCATATGCACAAGAACACCCACACTTACAGATAATACTCACTTGACCTGGCTTCAATGACTGTATGATCAGAACTCAACTAGAAGAAGAAAGAAGAGGAAAAAGAGTAATCTGATACAATTTGATGAACTTGACCTACACCTATGGATGTAGTAGTTCAAAAGAGGGAACCAATCTTTATAGCAAGGATCATTCCCACCCCCTCCATACACATAGTAGACAGGGATGGCAACTTGGGCATTGGCTAGCCAAAATGGGGGGCTACAAAGGCAAGAAGTGACTGGCTTACAAGCTTTCAAGAGGGAACCTAGATCCAGAGGGCATTGAGGAAAGTAGAATTTCCACTGAGTAGTATCCGATCTGTCTAGGCAAGGCTGAGGAATGGAAATGTGGATAGGTCTTTTGTGATACAGTAGTGAATAATTGTTATCAGGACTGATTGTGAGTGTTGGAAATGTAAAGGTAGATGTTTTGTAGCAAGGAGGGGAATGATTCACTTTGCAGTCTAGGAGCGGAGGTCCCTGGGACCATCAAGGGAGAAGAGCAGAGAGCAGGACCCTACGCAGAGAATCACTGACACCTGAGTTGGAGGCAGA